TAGGAGGGCTGTTTTCTGGGGAGAAACTGAGTGAGGAGAGGACCACGCAGGGAGACCCCTTTGCCCGGAATGGAGACCCTGTGCCGACGCAGCGGATTCCAGGCAGCGAGGGCGGCCAGGAGTCTGAGGTCGCGCTGACTTCAGGGGTGCACCGCGTCTCCCACAGACATGGACACGTGTCCTGTGGGCTTTCCAGTTTTCTCAGAAAGGGACTGTGAGCAAAACCATCAAAGCATATTACAGCAGCAAGACACAGAAAGGACTCAAGACAATTTTACATTCTTCGGGCTGTGTAAACATTCAGAAATCCTCTAAAATATCTGCACAACATCACATTTTACCAGGATCAAAATCCTCATCTCCTCACTGTTTGCACCCAGAGGACAGGAGCGTTCCTGCTCTGTGGTAAACGCTGTCCCACTCTTCTGTACTTTATGAAAAATAAAACATTTCATAATAAGAGAATAAAAGTAGTTAACACACTAGTATCCTATCTTCAAAGTGGCTACTCAGAGCATGAAACATAAAAAAGATGCTCACAAAGAGGAAGCAGACAGAAGCTACACGAAACACTCTTTTCCACGAACTAAGAAACTAGTAGTAGGAATGAAACGAATGAGTGTTGGCATTGAAATATCTTTGAAGCATCAGAGTAGGTAGTTTGCGGAATTGTTCGAACTTCTCCCTCCTCCGCGTCTGTTTTCTCTGCTCGTGTTTTGCATATGCATATTCTCACATAAGAGAGAGACAGTGAGCGGCTCGGGGGCTGAAATGCTCGGTGTTTTGTACACCAAGGACAGTGAGTTCCCTGCTGGCGGTCACCAGTGCGTTCCTCTGTAACCACGAACAGAGAGGACCATGCTTGCCTGGGAGATGAGCCTAAGGAGACACCTGTTTGATTTTTTCCTTTTATACTACTTACTGAAAAGTGATACCAATGCTATTAAAAATGTTTTTAAAAACTGGGTATTTTCCTTTAAAATTACTGTTACATTTGAGAAGAGTATGATCTCTACAGATATCTTTTTAGTGCTAAGTTTTAAAGAGGCAAATGTTATATGAAGGCATCTCAATGGTTTGCAGAAAATGAGCAGTAGCTGCGGGTCATAAAATAGGTGGGTTGTTAATGGTCGGAAAGGACAAGTTTTGATGCATGCATCAGGGTGCAGTGTATGTGTATACTTCTGAAAGTCACACTCCACGTTCGGCACGGCAGAACAGACGGCCGACACTGTGACCTAGAGAAGACACTCAGTGTATGATCATGAACAAGCAGCTGTGAGTACAATTTCAGAAGCAGCCTAGCTTCAGGTGGAGCCCAGGTAATGAGAACGGTGGTCTGTCTGCGGTTTAGAATGTGCAGTAGTTGTGCTGTTTTCACCATCAATTACAAAGGACTTGGAATCCTGTAGAAAGGGAACCATATTTTCTCATAAATGTGCTTATGACTCACATGTACTTGTGAGATTAAAAAGGATAAATACTTCCAAGTGGAGTAAGTCATACTGAACAAGGCAATGCCTCTACTTGTGAGTCCATGAAAATAAATTTGTGTGGATTCTGTATTAAGATGCTGCGTGGACACCCACGTACATGTCCAGAAGGGAGACCAGAAGCTTCGACCTGGTGCCAGCATTCAGTCACCGTCTTCCTTCACATTCTCCTGCCCCAAACACATCAAAGAAAACTGAAGAATGAAGCCCTGAAACTGTAGAAAACAGTTCAGTGAGAGGCAGCAGATAGAGTGGAAAGGGTTTGCTGTCAGAAAGACTGTCACACTCTCAAGCCCACATGCTTTCCTTCGTTACATTTTGTTACCTATTCAAGAAGCAATGATCCTTCGCCCTTAGAGTAGATGTTGATGGCGGTGGTGTGTCTGTGGGGGTTAATTTCCTAAATCAACCAGTCTGGGCTCTGGGGTGCCCAGATGACTAGTAAAACTCTTCCTCGTGTGTCTCCGAGGGTATTTTCAGAAAAAGATAGCATGTAGATCAGTTGACTCACTAAAGAAAATTACTTTCGGCCACATGGATGGGCATCAGTCCATCGTTTTTTTTGGGGGGGAGATACCAGGGATTGAAGTCAGGACCTTGTGCTTGCTTGGCAGGCATCGATACCACTGAGCTAAATCCCCAGCGTCAGTCTGTCGTTTGAGGTCCTGAGCAGACAAGAGTGTAGAGGAGAGGAATGTTTCCCTTTTCCAGGAGCTGGGATATTTGTCTTTGTCTGATGAAGGGAAATATTAACCCTATACTGACTCTGATTTCTTGATGTGTGAGAAGGATCACTCACTCCAGCAAACAACAAACACACATAAATTGGGTACTGTGAATTTGTATGGACTCAAGCTTTATGTTGAAACCCTATCAGCCAATCATACCTCCAAATGTGACTACTTCAGATAGGGTTCAATGAGGGAATTACACTCAGATGAGGCCTCCAGGGTGTGTCCCAGTCGGATGTGCTGGATGTGCTTGCGAGGAGAGGATGTTGGGACTGGAGGAGACTCCAGCGGTAGCAAAGATTCCACCAGGTAGCAAAGCACACGTGAGTCACTGCAAAAGAGGCCAACTGCAAGCCAAGGCTGATGCCAACCATGCCAATTCCTTGATCTTGGCTTTCAACTTTCAGAATATGAGAAATACTCTGCTGCTATATTGCATCATGGCTTTGCTAGCAAGCTAACATGAGGACTTTCCCTAACTTCCAGGGTCCAGCTTGCCCACAGTGCCTGTGGCCAGTTGAGCTCGGTCACCAGGATCTGGAGCCCAGAGTTCCAAGCACTCACCATGGAAACTCTGCAGGGGGACTCCGGCCTGCGGTTCTTTTGCCCAAAGTGTTGTGCCGTTCAAGTGAATGTTGAAATGGTTCGTGTTTTGCATAGACCAGTGGTTTAGAAGAATGTACAGCGAGTGAAACCCAGCACAGAGTCTTCACCAAGAAAAGAAAGGTTGTTGAGTAAGATCACTGATGACCAAAGGCTGGGCATGGGAGAGGTTCCAGAGCTACGCATCCTCCGTGCTGCCCAGCGATTCCCGCAAACCCTCTGCCTGGGGGCTTGTGCTGTGTTTTGTTTCTTGAAACACATTTATGCTTTGCTAGCTTTTCAAGAGAAATGCCTTCAACTTGGAATATTTTTTAAAATTGCCAGATCTCTGTGCATTTGAAAAGAAGTTGAACATTTGTGTAATATGCCCTAGCATTTGAGCTTTCACAAGACGCAAGGAGATGAGGGCGGAAACCACCTCCCACTGTAGAAAGTACCTGGCAGCTCACAGCTGCTTTTGAGATATTTTCACAGGGGCCTAAGTGTCTCGAAAAGTCCCACCAGAACTTCCCGCTCCCCTAACCACTTATAGGCTCCTATCTGCCCACCAGTGACAAGCACAGGATGTGTGAAAGTAGACACACAAGAGTATATAAGCGAAAGCCAAGCCCTGCTCGGGGCTCCTGAGGTGACGAGTCCCTTGGTGAGTCACTGGTGGTAAAGCAACTTCTCGCTCCTCCGTGTCTGGGTGCTTGGTCTGAGCGGCCGTCTCCTCTCCTGCTTCAAAGAAACCAAGCAGGCTGCTTTAAACACTGGCTGGTGTGGGACGAACTTCGGGAGTGGGGAGGGGCGGACAACTTAGACTGCGCAGGGTAGAGTCGTCAGAAAGCAGAGAAAGCCCCCACAGTAGCAGCAGGGAACCTGGGACAATTATTCAAGGAAATCTGGAAGGCACAATGGCAATCCCTGATTATTATTATTGCGTTGCATTTAGAAGGCCTGCTAATAGGTACCCAGGCTGCTGTGTGACATTTACAGAAGGTTGCTTTTGGCAGTGCTGGAGATTGAACACAGGGCCTGTGCATGCTAAGCGAGCACTCTGCAATAGCTACATCCCAGTCCTAGAAAAAAATGTATCTTTTAAAAATATGGTAACAGGGCTGGGGATTTAGCTCAGTAGTTCCGCTGCCTGCCTCACAAGTGCAAGGACCCAACTGATCCCTGGTACCAAAAAACAAAACAAAGTCAAAGTTGCTCTTGCAATCATACTATGATGAGATTTGCCATTTGCCCTGGAAACCACTGGCTTCTTCAGTGCAAATGACAGCAGTGGCTCTAAACAATTTCTCATAGCAGTCATTGCAGTTTTTTCATAGGAAGAAAGGAAGAGAAGGAAAGGGAGCGACAGAGGGGAGAAGGGAAAGCAAGGAATGGAAGGAGGAAGGAGGGGGAGGAAGGGAGGAAGGAAGGTGCCATTCCTGTTTAACGTGAGAACATCCTTGATGAAGCCGGAGGGATGGATTTTAGCAGACTCCTTTTCTATCATGTGAAGAAGCAGGAGCCACTGGCACAGCACAAAGCCCCACCCAGGCAGAGCGTCCGGGAGTGGTGCCTCCCGAGCCAGCCCCTCGTCTCATGGAAATCAGGCAGCAGAAAAGCTGCAGCCCTGGGAACTGGGTGTTCAGCAGAAGTCGTCGCAAAAATGAAGAGATGAGGCTTTTAATTTGAGTAAAACAACTGACGGTATCGGCCGCCCTGTTAAACGTCAGCCTTTTAAATACAAATTAGAATTTAAGAAAGCTTCTATCCAACACTAAGAGTTTCTCAGCCACGAAAGATGTTTCGGATGTGTTATGTGGTGATATCAAAGGGTGCTTTTATGACGCAAGTGAAATGAGTCCACATTTATAAGACCTGAATTCCTCCATAACTAAATCCTCTCGTAAGACATATTTTGCACAACAGTGCAGAATCACACAGGAGTAAAGGATGCATTCAGAGAGGAAGGTGGACTGAGAGGTTGCCATGGCACAGTGAGAACCGCTCCGGAACAGTCTTGGATCCCACAATGTAACTCATCTTTAAGACGCTACGGTTTACTGAGGTTTTGTTGTACTACAAACAAGAGCATTTATACTCATCCAAAAGGCTGCTTTTCCCCTTTGCAAACTATGTCTGTAGACAGCTGGATTTTCTTTATTTGCCTCAACAAAACAATATATATGATAGAATGCAGAAACCAACATGAGATTCCAAATCCCAATATTAAGGTAGGCATTGCAATGTTTTGTAATTTATAAAGTGCAAATGGCACTTTTCTTACTAACTTTTACTTTGGAAAATATTTTTCATAACATTGCTGTGTATATTGCTACAAATTGTATATTAACTATAAAATCACAGTGATGGGTTTATTGTTACTTTTAATGTATTCATAAAGATATTTTATAATTCTGCTTTAATTTCTAGTGTAGTAAAAAACCACAAAAATAAACTATAGAAATAAAAACTCTTGTGTGCCCTCAGTAGCTTTTGAGTGTAGAGAAGTTCTGAGAGCAAAAGTTCTGAGAATTGTTTCCCTAGACAGTTTTTAAAGAATTGCTTGTATAAGCTACCATTTTGTTTCTAAAGATACCATCACACTCTGTTAAAAAACTATTGTGAAAATTAATATCCTATGTATATGAAAGGAAAAATTTTAATTTGAAGATGTCCAATTCATATAATTATAATGTAGACCTTAGTTTATTTAGCGTCTGTTAATAACCGTGTTGAACTTGACCAGAGCTCTGTGCTTCAGAAAACAGCAATAGTTAATCTTCTGCAGCCTTTGGTTTTCTAATTTTTAAGTGACAATTAACAATTGGATACATTTATGGGACACAATGTGATGCTTTCATATATTTGAAAGCCAATCAAGGTAATCACCACACCTAACACTTCATCATTTATCATTTTTTGTGGTGAGAACACTAGAAATTTATTAACTGTGGCCACTACAGTGTCAAAACTGAATTACCCCTAACTGAACTATGCACTGTCTACTGGAGCCCCGTACAGAGTCTACCAAGAATCACAAGATTAATAGTGAAGAAAGGAGCTAAAGGTGTAGGGAAGGTGGGATGGGTAGGAGAAAGGTAATAAGGGAAAAGAAAAAAATGTGAGATAATGAAAAGATGAAAATAAAGTGTTTGTAGATGGGGAGGGGAGGAGGGGGTGAAGGGAGGGCAGGGGTAAGGGAAAAAAATGAGAATCAAGACTTGTCATGTAGAGGTACAAGATCCCAACAATGAATGTAACTGTACTGTATCCTAAAATGTACCGATAAACTCAATTAAAGCTGAAAAAAAAAAAAGATTAATAGTGAAGAATAACCAAGCATCCCAGTGGGGATACACACCTACCATAGTGAACTGTGGGTATGTTTAAGGAGGTTGACACTAGAATTTTTATTAGCTAAAAATAATAGAGAGAAGATGATATGTGCTGCTTGGACACGGAGCCCCGCATTGGACACCCAGGCAGGAGCTGCCAGGAGCCCACGGAGGGCGCAACCATTGCTGGGGAGTGGTCTGTGGAAAGCCTGTTATCTGCATTGCCGCAGTCCTAAGGAATGCCGGGATAAACTTTGTTGCACAAATACGTGCCCATCTACAAGGCATGAAAACATGGGGCACACGTAGAATGAGGATTGCTTATGGGATTTTCAGAACGTCTGATAGGTCCTTGTTGGTCCACACAGGAGGCATGTGGTGTCCTCCACTCTAACTCCTGGCTCTAGCTTTGTCTGGGTCTTCCAAGAATGGTGTCTTGGTATCAGCGGTTTGCACATACTGTGTGATCGGTATCTTTTCCCGTCACCATGCTTCTGTCTTCCCTCGAGTCTCAAGAAACCACCTTTCAACTCTATTTCTAGGAGACTGAAGTGGCTTAGGTACCCAAAGGAATACTGTTGAGTCTTAAAAACAAAGGGAGTTCTGTCATCCGTGACAGTACAGATGGAACTCGGAGGATATTATAACTGTGACAAGTAAAGGTGAAAATCCAGGTGCAGAAAGGCACATGCTTTAGGATCTTACTTGTATGTGTAATCTAAAAACAAAACAAACCCCAAGACTTTTGTTTACTGAAATCTCACCTTTTGTTGTCCAAGACATAGATGGCTGCAAAGAATGCCCCTTTGCATGAGGTGTGAGGCATCTTTTCATTGCACAACAAGACACCTGGGAGGGACCAGTGTGCTCCTTGGCGTTGGGGTTATGGCGAGGCCAAACATCACAGTGGACATAGCTGCTCGCCTCATGGCAGACAGGAAGTGAAGGGAGAGGGAGGCACCAGAGTCCCAGCACCCCCTTCACAGGTGCCTCCATTGACCTAACTTCCCTGCACCAGGCCCCCCTCCTAAAGGTTCTCCCACCTCCCAGCAGTGCCACAGGCTCCAGGCGTTCAGCACACAGAGCTGTGGGGACATCTGAGACCCCAACTCTGACAATATTTTACTTAGGGTGGGTTCACTGCCCTTCTTCTCCTGGTCCCACAGGATCTGCTGACGGTTTACTTGGCATCATTCCCAACACAGACCCTCTGAAGTTCTGTTCTTTGTTTCCTAAAAGATTAGCTGGGTTCCTCCTGCCCACCCTCTCCTGAAACCAGCCAGACACCAGACAAGCATTAACTATTCACCAGCTTGCCTGCGAGACCTCCCCAGTGACAGCTCAGTCCCAAGTATAGAATCAGCACACCTGCAACTCGTACTCTCCTCCCTATAAAATTCTGAGCAAGCTGCCTTGTGAAGACGTTCTGGCCCCTGGCTCAAGGCTGTTCATTCTCTCGCAATCGCTTCAGTAAAATCACATTCCTCCGCGCTTGTTTGTTTTTGTTTCCATCTTTTCCTTGTTGTTGGTTTGCCTTTGGCATTAAGAATAAGTTCATATTCTTGTCATCTTCCCGCTTTCAAAATGCTAAAGCCTACAAAAATTAGGAAATTCTGGGCAATTTTTATTTTTAAAAATACAAGACAGTTAAAAATGAAAAAAATTGTGCTGTGAATATCCTGATCTCATGAGAATAACTCTGTATCTCCAGATGGACACGCTATTTTTGCTAGGATTTCATTCAAGAAAAGGGAAGAAGACCCACCTGAATTGTTTAGCGGCTGTGTGGCACTAGAGAGAAAGGATTTCCTGCATTGACCACAGCCCAGGACCGAGTGTTCCCCCATGCCAGCGTCATGTGTGGGGCAGAGAGCGGCCCAAAGCCCACCTGCACTCCCCGTACGCTGGCACTGTGTGTGTTGACCGAAGGATTTCAGAAACACGGAGTCAGAAATCTGTGTCGCAGACTGGATGAGACATTTATCTAACACGGCACATTGGTAAGCGAGAAAACCACAGCAGGAACCAGCAACGTGCTGAGAGAGCAGATGAGAGCATGGTTCCTGCAAAGTGGGAGTTGTGCAGTAGGGAGGAAGGCAAGTCCGGGGAAGTCAGTTGCAACACGGGGAGTCTGATTGCTTCTCCCTTGTTGTTTTTCCTTGGGCTCACCCTTCGTCCCTTGCAGGTGTTGGTCTTTCGAAACCTGTCTTATGATTCAGGAAATTGGGAGACTCCTGCGAAGGCTGGTGGTAAGTTTGTTTTCTGACCCCACTCGTTTCTGTGGTGCTGGACACGGCTGCTCCCAGGGTACTCCTGGCACAGGCGCCCAGCAAGCATTGGCCACAGGCAGCAACGATGTTGCTAAGGAAGGATATGCACACCCCCGTTTCTTGAAGGCGCAATTCCTGTAACTGGCACGATGCACTTCTTAACAGGAGTAAGAACAGGAGCAAAGTTCAGTGGGTGAGAAGTCTCTGCCGAGGCTCCCACTCGTCATTGTGCTGACTCCCTGTAATGACACGTTCCTGTCATCAGACAAAGGACACCAAGGCACGCGCTTGTAGAAGGAGGTACATCTGTTACACTCTGGAAACTTGATGTGGCCTAAAAAAAATGAGCAATTTTATTAGATTCACTCCATATTATGGAGAGCTCAGTATTGAGAAGAAACAATAGCTGTAACGAATCCTTTTAAAGTCACAGCATTTACACTATTAATCCAGAAATATTTTTGATTGATTTTTATAATTTAACCAAGATAATCCAGTGTAAATTGGGCTATAAATGGATTGATATAAAACTGAAATAGTCATTAGTCTTTCTAAAGTGAAATATAATGAATTATAATATTGACAAGAAACATTACAATAATGAAAAAATATAGATTGGTAATAATTGTCATTATATGCCATCATTTTGCTAAACAATTTAAATAATTTTATCTTTTGGGAATTAATTATTCTTATAAAATGTCCAAGAGACATTCAAATATATTCAAATGTTTAAAATTATTTGGTTTCTTCTTTTAGTTATTACCAATTTTAATCTAAGAACTGAAATGAAATCATAGTACAACTAAATTTACAGGGAGCTTCTATTCCAAGCAAAACTGAATGTAAAAAATAAAATTTGGAATGAATATTTCCTAGATACTTTGAAAAATGTAGAAAAACTATCAATATTTTTCAAGATTTACTAAATCTCAGAACCGTGAATGGATTATTTATTTAGCTTTGCCATTGAAATTCATATCTATTACATGCCTTTATAGTGTCAGAGAAAATATACTTAGAGTACATACTTTAGATGCTATCATGCTATGTAAAAACGTGATATGGAAGATTCTGTCCAGAGTAAAATCTCCATACTCTCCACTATTATTCTATATGCATTTTTTCTGGATAGAGGATTATGTCTTAAGCGAAATCCTACTTCATGAGGGAGAAAATAAAACATCCTGGACCTTGTAAAGCACATATAGTCAGTGTGTTCGTGAGCTCTCCATTAGGGTAACCAAGACCTGAGGTAAATCAACTTGAAGGAGGAAACACTGATTCCAGATCAGTTTTGGAGGCTCCCTGGTGTCAAAATAGTCATGGCAGCTGCACATGAAGCCACTCACCCTGGGGCAGGGAAGGAAGGAGAGACAGGCAGAGTGGGGAAGGGGGCCCGTACATCCTTTAAGGCATAATCCAGCTCCCAGTGTCCTCCCACAGGCCTCCTCTCTTAAGAAATCTACCACCACCCGAGATGGCCCTGCTGGGAAGGAGTCTTTCCTGGCTCTCTGGGACTTCTGGGATTTCCGGGACTTCCAGGACTGCTGAGACTGCCGGGACTTCCGGTGCAGAAGCTCCAGCCAATGTGATTGTCCTCTGCCGTGCAGCCTAGAGGCCCCTTGCCAGCCTGGTCCTCACAGCCTTCCAGATTCTGCTCTGAGCCATCGCCAGTGGTTCACACAGACGGGCAGCAGGTGCTGACCACTAATCCACCTCCATTTTTCATCAAGGCTGGCCTTCTCCAAGAAGGTCTCAGGTGCATGGTGCCAGGCATCAGGAAGTTCCTGACCGAAAAGGATCAGGCACCCCTTCTACCCACAGGCAACAGCTTGTACTGAGGAGAACATTGCCACAGCCTAGGCCTTCAGGTCTCAGTGTGCTGTGAGGTAACTCTGGGACTCTGGAAGGGATGGTGGAAGAGTCCCCTCCCTGGTAAGACTCAAATGGACCATCCAGGAGATGACAGAGACACTAAACAAAGGACTCAGGAGATTTCTTCTGATAAGCTATATTCTAGCTGTAATTATTTAATTAAAAAGTTTACTAGCATAGGGCTGGGGATTTAGCACAGTGGTTCGGTGGCCTGCCTTGCAAGCGCAAGGACCCGAGTTCAATCCCCGGTACAAAATAAAAAAGTTTACTAGCATAAATATGTATCGTTGTTTAGAAAAGCAAAAGAAAACCCCAAAATAAACAAAGCTAATCAGTATTTACAGATAGAATGTTTGAAATCTGAAAATGAAACCAAATTCACTATGTTATTTGCAAGACAAAATATATGCTCCTTGTAGAAACATGGACAATGCATTAAAAACAAAGACAAAAGCAAACAAAAAATAGCTAATTCAATTTCTTTTCCTTGTCTCTCTCCAGTAATCCTTCTTTACTTTGTACCAGGAATGTACGGCATGACAAGTTAACAAAAGCAGTTCTCTGTGCATGGCTAATTCCCAGGGAGGGATCAAGGGCGAAGGGCAATGACCACGTGTTAAAAGGTCAGAGCTGTGTGTCAGGAGACGTCCACTCCCACAGAGAACAAGGCAAGGCCTTGGGGCCCGGGACACTGGGTCTGTCTCTTTGTAAAGTTCAAAAAGAGACAGGACTCATTGAAGTGTGAAAGAACAAACTTATTCACGAGGTGCCTGCAAATGGATTTACACCATAGGAAATTAAATCAGTGTTATTGAGAGCTGGAGTTCAGCTTCTTTAAAAAAATCCAGTTTCTTGCAGCACAACTGGATTCCTATTTTGACTGCACCAGTTTTTCCTTTGTGCTTATAGAACACTAATTTTCTTAAGCTATTGAAATATTAGGTTTTAAAAAATGTTTTGTGAACAAATTTTGTTTTGTTTTTTTTTTTTTGACAAAGTTTTTGGTCTGAAAAACAAACAACAATGCACCAAAAGATCTGCAAAACCAGACTTAAGATTCCCTGAGACAAAGATACCTGAGACAAAGAAGAACCGGAAGAAGGCAGCATATTTCTGGATAATGCACTGCAGAAAATCTCCCCTAGGTGAACGTGCGTTTAATAGGCACATGAACAGTTTAACAGGTACCAGGGATGCAGCAGGTTTATTACAAAAATAAGACATTGTCCGCTTGTTCTTTTTGTCTCAGAATTAGGAAGCTAAAGCCAATAAGGATGATAGTGCATGATGTTTAGTGTGGCACAGATCCTGCATCCTTATTTGCAGGTTTGCTTGGAAGTATTTCTTCTTCCACGAGGAGACACTTGGCTGCAGTTTCTCAAGTCTGCTGGGCAATAACCAATAAAAAGGCGGAGAGGAATTGCGAAAGAACCTTCTAGTTTCAATCAATTCAAATAAGATTTGAACTATTGTTAAGGAAGTAAATAGCAAATAAACAACACATGGCTCTAAGTTTGACACCCAAAAGTTTTCCTTTGATTTTTTAACATCTTTATTTTTGCTGGTCCATGTTTGCAGTACATAATGAACGTAGTTGTCATGGGGAGTTGGCTCACGTACATAACACAGTTTACTTCTTTCTAGTTCCCTTTCTTTCCTCTCCCTCCCTCCACTCTCCATCTCTTGGTCCCTTTCCCATTTGCAAAATATCTACCTCCCTGTTTCTTATTATCTGTCTTTTATTTTGCTCTTTCATTCATTTATTCTTTAGTTTTTGATGAGAAATTCCCTCACCAACAGTATTTGTCGTAGGGGAAGCCCTTTTCCTTGCTTTCCATTATATAACCTGGTTTTGTTATTCTCTCTCTTCAGTAATGCTAGCCTTCTTTTCAGGATCTCTTTCTCTTTCTCTGCCTGTCCTTCTTCTCCTCCCTGACCCTCAAAGTCAAGGTACATACAGCCTCCGAAGTCCTCAGGGATATTTAACCTGGACAGCCCTGGAGGGGCCAGTGTGGGTGGCCAGGGAGTCAAGAGAAGTTGGGAAACCAAGGGCAGAAGAGCTAGACCAGCAGCTCCAGAGAACCATTAGGAATATAGGGCCCCAGTCCAGGTGATCCTGTCCTCTCCAGGACCTCTGGAGGTGGCGCGCATTCTGACCTGCGGGGAATGCTGCTGTAAGTCTCTCGGATGCCCCTTCCCTTGTTGCTTTTCATTTCCAGTTTTTGCCCCATTTCATCCAAACAAACCCTGCTGGGGGCTCCCTGTGCCCACAATGCCAGACAGGGTGTGTCAGCCCGGGCAGAGACTCTGCTGCTCTCCTCTGCACCTGGTTGTTATTCTTTTGTTTTTCTCCAAGCACAATCTGATGTTTTATTAGCCCATGCTTGCGGTACATAATGTCCACATTCCTCCTGCGGAGCCGGTGCACGTGTGCAGCTCATCTTCATCCTGTTTACCTTGCTCCTAAAGACTGGGCTTTGCGAGCTCTTCCCAGCTGTGTGAACTTGCTGTGGTTCCTGCCCTTGGAAGTGAGCAACAGTGTCTGCCTATCAGATATTGTGAGAATAAAATGACACGTGGCAAGCTCGGAGTGACAGTGTTTTTCTGCATAAACAGGCATCACACTGAATTTAGTTACAACTTGCTATCAGCACAGAAATTGAGGCTCACGAGAGCTTTGAAATATGGATGAAAGAATTTCAGCCGCAGTTAGTATGATGGTAGCAGTCATATTTCCTATGCTCCACGCTAATTCATTAGATCCCAAGTAGCCCTAGGATGCTCAAGGTGTGAGTAAGGTAGAAGAGAAAAATAGAGAACTCTTGACACACGTGGAGACAGGGCGTTGTTTTGGAAATGTCATACCAAAGGGTGTCCATGGACCACGACGTTTTCAGGAATTTCCGAGAGAAATGGGATGCGCGGGACCTCTGCCTGGAGATACTGCGTGTAAATGCTCCGTGTAACCTAGAAGAGCTGCTCTTCCAGACAGCGGGGTTTGCAGTAGACGGAGATCACTGCTTGCAGAGTTGGGGAAGCTTGTCCACCAGCCGTCTCCCTGTCCCCGTGGCACTAATGCAAGGGGGACCTCAGGCACAAAAGCACACCCTGCTGCATCCCAACCCTGCTCCATCCTGCCGGACGGCCCACAGGGATGGCAGGCCCCGGGGATGGTGTCCGCTGGCCTCGGCCTCAGTTTCTCCACCACCCCTCAGCATGTGCGAGCCTCTAGACTGCCGGAGCCCGGCACCCTGTTCCCCAGACAATTGTGCTTTTCAGGACCTGAGATCCCTGGAGATCTTTTTCTGTCCTTCTCCTTGCCCAGCAGCTTTTAATTAATTGCCTGCGAGGTAGTTTGTTACTATTTGCATATTGCTGATTTCCTGCCTCCCTTCAGTTGTTTTCTGTATTTTTGTATGATGTTCTTTGATTGTCTTTGGACATTTTCTCTATCCCCACAGCTCACAGCCCATAGCATTTTCCAGCTTGCAGGGGGAAATGGACTTGTGTGTACTTTTCCTTATCCTGGAAATCACCATATACTTCTAGATTGTGCCTTTGCCACTCTAGTGTAAGCCACTGGACGTTGCTCCTGTACACCCAAGGCTCAGGGCCCACAGGCTGGTGTGTTGTGCATCAGCCTCCAGTGTCCAAGTCAGTATGGCCCAAATTATATTACATCCAACAATTACTTAGCAGAGCTTTTAATACGGTATTGGGACCATCCTTGTGTTCACTGTAGATGAAGATTTCCTCTCTAGTTCCTTCTTTCCTTATATTTGTGTTTTTTTTTTTTTTTTTTTTTTTTTTTTGGTACCAGAGATCAAACTCAGGCCCTTACACTTGTGAGGCAGGCTCAGTGCCACTGAGCTAAATTCCCGGCCCATTTGTGGGTATTTTTAAAGTGTGTTGGTTTTTTTCTCCAAAATGTATTTCTGACTCATGGAGGTAGGATAGTAGTTTTCTTATTGTAGAGGAAGCAGGTATTTAATGGAATTCTCTGTTAATTATGTGTGATCATACTTCATTGTCAGTTTGGGCCAGCCATCTCCTCTAAACAGGAATATCCTTGGCCATAAGATAGCGATTGCAACATTCCTTGGGTTTTTGTATGAATTCAGTTGAGAAGCACTAACATTCATAACACATTGCTTAGCTATCAGCCTGTGTTATTGAGCCAGAAAATGATTTCTGAGAGAAAAAAAAAAGTTTTTCCTATGTCCAGCTGACCTGACTGATAAAGAACCACCCCCAGCTCACACCCGCCCCACACCTCACACAGGTCCTCCTCCACTGTCCTTTGTGCTCAGGAGGTATCTGCATCCAGTGTACTTTTCCATCAAATCATGTAAACTAAGTGTAACTTCCTCAACCAATGGACTGATGACAAATGTCTTGCTTCTCTATTCCCACCCCTCTTCTGTTGACCCATATAAAACCCAGTTCACTGTCAGCTCTGGCTGATCCCTTGTGGAGAAATCCCAGATCAGCCACGAGATAAACTTGTGTCCAACCTCCAGGTGTGCTCTCGATTCAAGGGCCTGATCTTGCTGTACCAGTAAAAGCTGCCACACTGTGGACTGGGAGTCTGCAGTTACATTATCACTGCTGGTAGTTTTCAAAAAACTGACATTTTGTTATCTGGTATGCATTTTAAATAGAAAAAAGCCCTGTAGTTTTTTGAGACGGGGTCTCACTATGTAGTTGAGACTGACTTGGAACTCACTATGTAGCCCAGGCTGGTCTCGAACTCACAGTGATCCTCCTGCCTCAGCCTCCCGAGTGCTGGGATTACAGGCATGCGCCACCACGTCCAACCTACAGCCCTGTATTTTTTGGAGAGGTGCAAGCAGCAGAACTTAGGTTGTCTTAATCGGTTGTTCGTCACCACTGGCAGAATACAGAGATCTCTGGAAAATCCTATCCATGAAAAACCCCTCACAGTAATATCCCGAATCTGCAATGAAAGATAACTGTCTCCCAAAAAATGTGACACAGTTCAATGATCATAGCTTTGCAATCAGGCTAAAAAGAAGGTTAAGAAAAAGAAATCTACAAAGGAAATAAGAAAATAAAAAGGGTTTTTCCTTTAGCTCTACCATGACACAATTTTCAAAGCAAATCTATTGCCAGGCTAGAACATAACTGAAGCAAAACATCGAAGCTGGGCGATATGTGTGTTGAACTGGTGGTGTAGAAATCAGAACAGA